TGCTTGTAGTGAGGTGGTAGCTTGAGCTGCTTTACACTCTATCTTGGACCTTTCCCTTCTTTCTCTAAGCAAAGATACAGTTAAAACCTAGCATCTAATTTTTTGTCAGTAACAGGCCAAGCAACAGCTGAGTCCCAAAGACAAGCACGTAGAAGGGGGAACAAATTGCATGAGTCAGACTAAAAGCTTCATAAATATTGACTGGTTTTAACAGCCCCCTAAGGAACAGAGAATCTCATTTTATAACTACATCTCCTTCCCCATTATGCACTCCCTCGTCTCAGGGAGCCGTGAGGGGGGCTACTCTCCTGGCTTATGAGCACAGTATTTTAATTCCATTCCAGTCAAGCTGCTCTGTCAGACACTTTGCACCACACATCAGCATAGTATCTGAGCATCTTCCAGTGGGGCTTAAAATAACAGGACTGTAGTAGGCTTTGTTCTCTCAAGTTTGCCCTAGGGTAGAATTGACTCAGAGGAGAAATCAGATATTAAATGTGTAAGGGATGAAGGCTGAAGAGGACAGGGTGCATTTTGGTACCATCTCCTCTGATTCCTACTGGGTGAGGCACAGCTAGAGACCCAGAGAAGCAGATAGATGCAATGGGAACATAGACAGAAGAAACAAACAGTGAAAAGTCTACAATGGTGATACAGGCAAGAAAGGCAGACAGCATGGAAGAGAGAAAGGACTTGGCTATGGAAGATGAAAACAGTTTGTTGGGCCTGTGAATAGACAGAGGTGATGGAGGCATGTGATGGGACAGGGGGGTACAGAAACAGTTTGTTGGGCATGTGAATAGACAGAGGTGATAGAGGCATGTGATGGGACAGGGGGGTACACTAAGTCACTGGCCAGGGTGGGGAGCAAGATGACTCCTGCCTTTCTGACATTGTGTGCAAAGTTCACTTCACCCTGCTGTGAGGGCAGCTCCCTTTTCTTGCTGGCTAAAAGCTCACCAGATTCGCCTTGATTTGTTGGCACTGTCAAGCCCCCATTCTGTCTTACCCTCTACAAGACATGTCCACTCCCCATTTCCAAATTTGTGCATTATTCCCACCCTCATCTTCTTCTTAGGAGTATTCCAGGCAAAAAAACAGTGATACATGAATCTTCCCATATGTACCACACAGTATAAAATCTGTCTTTACCAGCTGAGTCTAGTTGCAGTCAAGTCTCATCCTTGGTGCAGAGGTTGAGTAGCAGTTCATATGTCCTTTCTTCCAGTCTTAAGTAAAGGTTCTTCCCTGACAGGTCCTCCCTCAGCAGGTTGTTTGCTTTGGGACAAAACAAGCTATGGTTAAGTGGAGACCATAAGGCCACAACAAAGCCTGTGGATGCTGATGAGGCTCACCTGAAATACACCATGTATGTGATGTTTTTATGTATTCTCAAGAAACTCAGAAAAAGAAAAGCATATCCTCTCACTCTCCAAACCCCAAATGTTCAGCATACAAAGTGGTCTGGAAATCTGCCACTCCAAGCTGGCTCTGGAAAGTAACCCTTTTATGCTCTCCTGTTTTCAGAAGCTCAACACTGCCTCCTGTATCTTACAAGTCACTCAAAACCCACAGTGAATTCCCCCTGTCTGAGGCCTGCTCTGAAACAGTAGGGGTTACTGCTTTGGGATTAAACTCAGGATAGGTTATTTGGAGGCTACATCTCTTCTAGAGGCAGCCCTACCTGCATTAGGGCTAATGGCAAAGTCCAAAGTAACTTTGGAGAAACTGGGATTTTATATAATGTACATGAAAGCCTTTGTTGCTCCAAAATCTACTAGTCCACCTGGCAGAGAAGAGGAGTCTATGCACAGAGAGAAGCTAAATATTTTGAGGAAGGTGATGTCAGAGAGAAGCAAGGGCCAGCTGCTCCCTAGGGAACACGGAGCCAGGTGAAGTGATGCTGATAGCAAGACAGGAACCCATCCCAAGGTGGTATGGGTGGTTTGCCCTGCAAACACAGCAGGATTAAACTGCAACCAGATTCGGACAAGAGCCCAAATCACCAGGGAAGCCCATGATGATGAGGCAGATCCTGGGTCAAGATGGAAGTCAGTACACTGGTCAGAATCAGTCCTGATGACAGCAATCAGATACCAGATCAGAACACCCGATAGGTCCATGGAGATGTGACATATCTGAGGTCATGCAGGAAAGTCACCTTGCAGGTCTGGGACCAGATCATTAGTGGTGATGGGCAGGCAGACATAGCTGAGTTGCAGACCAGCATTCCTCCAGCATAGGGAAAAACAGAAGGAAGCCAGGCTGAGCTTAGATGGGGCTCCTGAGCTGATGGGCAGATGGGGTGGTGAGGCAGCTGAGGATGCTCAGGACTGTTAACACCCTCAGGGCCCTGACACACTTACTCATCTCTCACACTCAGAGCTGGTGCAGCTGAATTTGGTGGCATCTGCTTGGGCCACGTTTTCTCCATTCCTGCCCTCTGGACTGGTTGGCTTTGTCCATCCTTGTCAATTTTCCAGTTTGATTGTGTTTCTTTACCTGAAATCTGAATACCTTTGTGAAATGTGAAATTTCTACATGAAGAGGCTTAGACAGACTAGGATGATGGGAGGTAGAGATGGAGTTCACATCTTCATGTTTCCATTAGCCTTGAGCTTCAGACGCAAGTGCTCAGTGGATGATGTAGAAGACATTATCACTGAGTGAATAATAGAAAGAATATGGAGACTATGTTGTTTTCCTATTGAGAATAAAATACATTTGAACAATAAAATGTAATAGTATTTCCAGTACCTGGACAAAGGAGCAAAAAGCAAAGGAATATTCCAGGTGGAAGTTAGCACAGTTAGAGAAGCTCAACACTACAAATCAACCATCTCATAACTTCAAAAAATACAAAAATTCCACCAGTTGTCAGGCACCTATCCACCAACTCACCCACTGAGAGCATCCATTCCTCACAGCATCCAGTAATCTCCCTTCTCATATGTAAATGTAGTATGGCAGTTCCTCACCTTCACCAGAGCCCTCATTTGAAAGGTCTGGCACACTCTATACATGAGTTGCTTTGGGGGTTGAACAGTTGTAGTGATCCAGAACTGAAGTTTCTCTGCAGTGAAAGAGGAAATCTCAGAATAGTCCATCTTCCTGAAAGAACCTGGCAATAGCCCATCAGGTCTTACAGCCAAGGATACGAAAAAAACAGTCAGAGATCCATGGATTCTGTATAAGCTTAGACGTGATGGAGAAACCCACCTTCCGTACCAAGGCAAAGTTGATTTCACAGCAGACCTCAAGACAGACTGCTTGGAACCTGGAAAGCCATTTATCACCAGGTTTAAAAGGGCCTGACCTTCCTTTGAGAATACAGTTTTGAGTCAGAGCTACTATCTACTATCTATCAGAGCTACACTCTGGAATCCTGTGCATCCTGTCATCAAGTTATGACCTTTGCTTCATGGAGATACCAACCTCTGACCTGTTTGAAACTGTCAGCTTAAGGAGACAGGGATAGCTGGGAAAGTGTTCCCAGTAGGACATGTGTCCTTCAGTCCAAAGACAACTTTGTGAAGAAGGAGAATACTTGAGCTGGTTGATCAGTGACTCACAAGTCTGAGAGATGGAATGGAAGCATCACATAGGCACAAAGGAAGCATCACATTCATTTTCATAAGCACAACTTGCAGAAAAATCTGAGTCTCTCCCTCTCCACTTTTTAGTAATAGGCAAATATATAAAGGGTTATTAAAAGGCTAGTCATTCTATAGCTATCCAAAGTGCAGAGCAAATTGTAGGGAGAGCTGGGGACCACAAGCCAAAAGCCCAAACATGGAAATGATGCTGTCTTTTAGTTAAGATGAAGTGCAAGCACCAGCAGTTGAAGCTATGTTGGGTAATCTGGCATGATGTGGTGTCAAAAAAGCACACAAAGTGAGTCACTAGGAGTGTATGTACAAGTCAGAGCTTAGCCTGATCCTCTCCCCCATACCTCAGCAAGGGGGAGTGAGCCGGCGGCTGTGTGGTGCTTAGTTGTTGGCCAGGGTTAAACAATGGCAAGTACAGATGATTCAGTTCTGCAGGAGAAGCAGAAGTGAAGAACAAAGTTTAGTGCTGTGACTATGACAAAATTTTTCTTGGTAAGGTTGTAATAGAAAACTAGTAGCAGGTCTCTGATCAATAATGATGGACAGGCACCAAATAGAAGTCATACAAAAACATAGTCATGACCTGAGTAGACATGTAATATGTGAAATGTGCCTCAATAATTTGCTCTAAAATAATAAAATATGGCTGGGTAGCCAGAACCAGCAGCTGACCTTCCACTTCTTTTTTTTCCCCCAAGAAAAAACTGAAGACACTTGCCCATCCTTGACGTATTCCATATCTACTGCCAAATCTGCACTCCCCCACTCAGACATAATCCCAAAATAGGGTGTGATGCCTTTCCCGTTGACAAAGCCATAAGTCACCATGAGCAAGACAGACTCAACATCGTCCAATCAGTTAATTGAAAAGAGCTCTCCCCCTCTGTCTCCCACCACTTCAGCACTCATTATATCTCACATTAATTAATATAGGCTCTAGGAAGTGAGATGATAAATTACAAAACCCCATTAACCTGATTCTGTCCAAACGGATGAAATAAGGCACCTTGTATGTTAGACAAATCTTCCTTGCTAACGTGGGAGTCCTCATGTGTGAACTCCATTAAAGCAACAGCCCTGAAAAAATATTTTTAATGCATGTACGTATGGAATGTATATCAATGTGCATGAACAGTGCATGCCTGTGGGAACATCAGAATTCATTAGATCAGTCTGATATGAGATATATTGAACAGGTTCCATCTGACATCTGTTACTGGGTTGTTCTGTCCACTCCCAAAGGAGTGAATCATATTGACAGGTTGAATTATATCTCAAGAGATATTTTTCTCCCCTCCTCCAAAGGCCATTTGCAATCACGGCACATCCACTGCCTCTTAAAAGTGAGCTCATCTGGCGCTGGGTTGCATTGAAGTCCTCCACTGTGCCTGAAGGAAGAATGCTTTTGGGCGGTGGGAACGTGGAGAAGATGTGGTCTGTCCAGCTGTGTCTTGGAGTGCTAACCGTCTTGACCATGACTCTGTTTGTCCCATGTACACATGGAGAACCTTTTTTACTACAAGGTAAGCTGGAATACAGACTAGATGACCCAGGTAAGTGGTTATCTTTTTGCTTTGCTTTGCTGCTTGCCATGGCCAATGCAACACTTGCTTATCTGAGGAAGAAAACAAAATGAACCTTGAGCTATACTGAACAATCAATTAACATGGGTGCTACCGAGAGACTTGTTCAAATTAGCATGAACTAAAGCTGTTCCCATCTGCAGCTGGTTGTATGACACGCTCTGCTAATCAGTGAAAATATCAGATCTGGTGAAATCTGGTAAGGGTAGCTCTGTCTCTCCCATATGAACATTTCCATAGGAAAACACTAAAATATCAGAGAGTAGCAATTCCAGGATGCACCATATGAGATTTGACAGCTCATAAATGTCAGTAGTAGGGTGCTGCTGAACTTTTTTTCCTTCACAGAACTTCTTTTCATATGTTCTTCTTCCACAATTTAAATTAATCTTAGTTTGAACTTAGACTGCAGAGAAATGTCAATCATTAATGTTCTTTCTTAAAGAGACTTGGCAGTGGAAAGAAAAAAAAGAGCAGCTAAATATAGGCTTGAAAATAACATTGCTTTTCAAATGATTTTTCCTCTTATATCACCTATTTATTTTTGTAATGACAACCAAAACATTCCCAAGCCCACTCTATCTAAATACTGCTTCTGTTTAACTTTTACTAGAGTGTTTATAGGGTTTGTTTTTTTCTGTAGCAAATCCCCCAAACAACTAAAAGTAGCTATTTTAAGATTATAACTGTCTTTCAGACTTAGGAACAAGGTTTACAGCACTCCATGCTAACTTACACAGCATGTAGCTCTGCTCACTCCCTTGGGTTTATTTCTAGAGATCTCAATCAGGACCAGTGGCTTCAGCTGCAGCATGAGGCAGGGTTGAGTCTGGCCAAATACTTGGAGAATCCCTTTGGCCAGGGTCCCTCTGCTTCTGCAGACATATGTGATTTTTAGCTAATGGAACTGATTCTCACATACTCTTGAGCATCCTTCAGGCTCATCTGGTACAGTGTTTTGTTTCATGTGTATCATGTCCCATGCATTCATCCCCCCACAGCTCTTTAGGGTTGATGGCCATACGAGACTGGTTTTTACCTCCTTGAAGGGGTTGAGCAGAAGTCCTAAAGATCCTGGAAGAAGAGAAAATAAGCCTTTCTGTATAATTTCTTTATATTTTCCATGGATTCTGTAGGCATCTTCTAGGGCTTTGTAGTGTCTAGGTTCGGGGCAGGAGTGTTCAGACCAAAGATTTTGGGGAATGGCCACTCTCCCTGTAAAGTCTGGCTCCCCTTCTGTCATTCTCAAAAATGAGTGCCACATTCTAGTCTCAGATGATTCTGGAAATCTGTTGAGCAGAGCTGGGAGGGTCTCAGAGCCTTCAGTGCACTGGATAGTCCCATCCTCTGTGTCTGTTGATTTCTGCCAAACCCTTAACCTTCACAACCATTCATTTGAGGGCATAGCCACAACCACTAAAGTAAAACCATCAAGAAAGTGTCCTAAAGGGGCCTCCTAGAGAGATCCAAATTGCTTTAGGGCAGTAGCTTGGGGAGGGTTTTTTTGGAAAACAGAAAAATTCTGCATGGCCTTGCTTTAATCTCTTCCATACTTTGCCTCTGTTCAGGAAGAATACTTCAGTACCACTGGCAAGCAGATAAAGCAGCCCCAAAGCTGAGTGAGCACAAGAATAGGCTGTGGGGCTGCAGGGCTTTTCAACCCTTGTGAGGAGTGAGTTCCCACCTCTGTCTGCCCTGGGAAGGTGCATGGTGTGAGTGGGAGGAACACTTGCAGTTTTGAGAAGAGAGGATGCCGTGGGTTGCTGTCTAGCTTTGCAGAGGCATCCACTACACCTGCCTTGCAGAAGAGGTTGGGACTGTCTAAACTAAGATGATGTCTCCAGCTCTCTGCAGCCAGCCATGCTGATGAGGCTGCAGCAGAACTGGCTGGGAGCCTGGAGCTGGCAGGACCGTCCCACACCCTTTCACTGCGCAGCCCTCACTGCCTGGACATTTTGTTCTGTGCTCACACACCTTCTTCTTCCCCCAGCTCCTTCCATTCTGATGAGTGCTCACAGGAGACATTTTCCATCTACTTCTTAGCTTTCTTAATTTGATGAAGACATTAATTGAATCGATTGATTAATTGATTCTTAATTTGATTAGCAATGATGTGTTTTATGTGCTGCAGAGAATCGAGTGCTTCCAGAGAGAGAAGACACAAATCACGAGGGCACACTGCTGACTCTGCTCCTTAATAAGAAATTTGCATGGCGGAGGCCAGAAAATATTGGTAAGTGAAAGAGATGGGAGATCTCTGCTCCTTGAATCTGTTTGCATGAATGCAAGGAGCCTACCTCTCAGAAATACCAACTGCTCAGAAAGTGGAAGCACCCAGTATGGTGCCTACATGTGATTGTTGTCAGATGTTCTCCATCATGGGGCTCCTGGACCTGCTTTTGCAATGCAATGTAAAGCTGCTAAAAAAACATATACCCTAGGTCCTCAGACACTCAACATTGTGCTGTCAAGGGAGCATGTGTGCATCCATAAGTAGTAACAAGAAGAGACTCTGCTGAGTCCCTGTGCCCCTGCTATCCCCAAGATGTTGTGTACAATGCCTGCAGGCATGGTCCAGCTTTGGGAGCCACCTCTCCACCCACACTCCATACAGCCCTGTGTGCTTTGGAGAGATAGCTCAGTGTCTTGCTGACATGCTGAAACCAGCAGCATCTTGTTAGCGTGTGAGGCAAGAGGACAGCACCAAGATTTTGAAGAGAGCATGTGGCTACGATCCCTCAGGGTCAGGTGTAGGCTGGGACAAGGGCAGTGGAAGCTCCTGCCTGGACCTAAACCCCTGCTACTTCTGGAAGAGGCTGAGAAAGCTTTTCCCACACAGCTGAGACACCAAAGATGGGCCATGTGGAGACTTTTCCTGTCTGTGCTCTGTAAGCAGACGCCAAGTTTAAATCCACAAGCATGTGGCTAAACTCAGACCCATTGAGGAGGAACTTGGGCCTTCCCTGACACTAGGCACAGCGATCACAAGCACCAGATGGATTACAGGGGTCAGCTATTCCCACGGCCACTGCGGCCAAGGGAGGGCTTGGGCTGTATGTGGTGGTCTCAGAGCAGGAAGCAGCCCTTCCCTGTGAAAACAGCTCAGAATGGGACCCAGCAAAAATTTTGTTATGAAAATCAATTCAGCAAACTTACTCAGTGCTCTTCCCCAGCCCCTTGTTAATGCAGCGAGGCAGTGGTTAAACAAGCCTGGGACAAATAAATAAACACAAATAAATCAAGTCCTTATACTAACAAAGGCATTCTTCTTGCAAAGGAGTTGCATTCAAGAAATAACATTTTTATGATAGGTTTATGGATTATTGCACTTATTACTCCTAGAGGAAAGGCTACATTTTATGCCAGACAATTGAATATAATGAATCTCTGAGCAGAGCACAGATAGAGGATTTACAGCAGGCAGTTTCTCAAGGCTTCATCCATAAATTAACTTCCTTCTCCCTGCCTGAGATAATGTGTTCCTAATTTCAACCGCTGTTCATTTTCTATTCATGGCAGTCATTGGCCAAACTTGCAGTTTGCAGAAAGCTGAGCCAAAATAGGCAGTTGAAACTCTGAAAGAGGCAAAATTGTGTATAATAACAACAACAACAATATCATCTCTTAAGTGGTACTTTTGACTTATAGGTATGCTGAGGTCTGTCTGTCAGTACCCTATGGATATGTAAAGACACACTTAGGAGCAATCTGCCTGAGGTCACTGCTGGCAGTGCCAGGAACAGAGCCCACACCTCCTGACTCCCATCCCTATCCCCATCCCATCTCTCAAATGTGATGGATTTGCTTAGGAATTGCTGGTTTTACTGTTGGATGAATATGCATCAGAAAATATTCAGGATTTTTGAGCAGAATTGTTTTCTTCTCAAAGGAGAATCCAAGAAGGCAGTCAGCTCTTTCTTGGCACCCTCCTGCTCAGTTTCAAGCATTTAAAAAAATAAAAACACCAAAGTCTGGCAATGTGTCTGTGTGCTGAAGTCTTATCTGAAATCTGAAATCAGGGGGAATTATGTCCTAAATCCCCTTGACGATGCAGACCAATGCCTGCTGCCACGTTAGGAGCAGACAAAGGAAGCAGCTCCAGGGCTGGATTTTGGCTTGCTTGTGAGGCCCAGCAGAGACATTCTTTAGATCTTTCCTGGCTCTTCTGCTTATTTTAGTGCATTTTTTCCCAAACTGGCAGTTCAAACCAGCTGATCACTTTGCATTCCCCTCCCAGGAGAACTGCTGTAGCAAGTCCCTCAGCTTTGACTGAGCTCAGCTATCTTATTGAAATATTAACTGGTTTTGACATTGATTTGAGTCTGGAAGAAGGTACCTCAGTTCCCAAGAGGAGTGAGACTGTAAACCCCCATCCCTTCCTCCAGCTTTCCCTAATTGTTAGTCCAGGCCCTTCCCAGTTCAGGTGGAGGCTTTAGATCCTGTTCCTAGGTACCTAACTCTCCCATTCTTCTGGGTGGGATATCTCTGGGCAGTTCATTCATCCACCTGCATAGTTTTTTGACAGTAGTACAGTACTGATTAGCCTTGAGACCTCTAAGTGTGAGCTATAAAGCTGCCCCCCAGGTCCTTGTGCTCCTCCAACATTTAGAAGTGTGTAATCCGTGCACTCACTGCTATGTGACTTTTCCTGTTGCCCCATTCTGCCAGCCCAGATCTTTGCTGACTTATAAAACAGTAAGTTATGCTAGGCTAAATTTGTGTCTTCTGACTTCTGCCTGCATGGGTGATGTGAGGATAAACAAGTCCTAAAGGAAGCAGTGGGATTTCATATAAAGGCCAGTGACAGAAAAGCATTAGAGATTTGCTGTTAGCAGGATAAAAATTAAAAAGCAGCAAGAGGTTCACCTGAACTAGTGTCACACAGTAAGTGACCTCATTGGGCCAATTCCCCTAAGGCCTGGTGAACGGTACAGAAGCCTCCCTTGTAATGGAGAATTAGGATAAAGTTCCAGAGGATTCAGCAGAGAATACCTGCTTTTCTGGCAGTTTCTGCTGTTATTCATTTGGAGATCACTAACAGGAATTAAACGATAACTAGGTCTTTTCTTGTCAACCCCTGTAGAGAGTAAATGAAGAAATGCTTTTTAATTTGAGCTTCAGGAAGCAATGCAGGTACTGATGTTACTCTCTCCCTTCTTGCAGACTGGGAGCTGGCAAAGAAATTTGAAGAGCTTGAACAGGTGAGAGGAGCAAATGCACAGACACACAGATGCATGCTCTTGTATGAATAGCTAAATGATTGTGCAAGCTCTCTTTGTGCCCTATTCTTCCACCTTTCCATTCTGCTAACCTTTGTCCTGCTGCTATAATGTAAGCACAAAGAGAAAAGCAGAACCTGAGCTAAACAGCTGCAAAGTTGGAAAACATAAAAAGAAAACAAGGCTATACACTAGTGCAATAAAAGCTGAGGCAGCTCTTGCCTCTGCCACTGGTAAAAGGCCAGTAAAGGGTAAGCCAGGAAAAAATGAAGCGTCACAAGAAATCTCCACGGAAGAAAAAGGAGTGGGAACAGGAGGTCATGGTGCCTTCCCAGGCATTGTACCAGCTGGCTGCATCACATAACAGGTTGAAGTTGGAGGGATAGGCACTGCCCACCTACGCCAGAATTTTTTTCTGGACTCTTCACTAGTAGGGTGGCCCCACCCAAGGTCAGAGCCCTGACACACACACAGAGCATTCCCATCCTACACCCAGTGCCCAGGAATAGGGAAAGGTCTGAAGAAACCTTGACGTGCCTCGCACTGTGCCCCAAACACCGCAAAAAGTAGAAGTGCTTTTTAACCCTTCTCAGGCCAGGTCCAGCTGCTCATGTGGATCCTGGAGGTCCTGCTGGGTTCCACATGGCATTTTCACTTCAGCCTGAAAAATCACAGTGCATCATGCCAGATGGGAGCCTGACAACTCCTACGCTAGCCCCTCACTCCAGTGCTCAGGGATGTTAAGCTCAGACTTTCTGGGAACAGCACTGCCAGAGCACAATCAGGATGATGGCTGCATATGTTGCCAGTCTACTAGAAAAGTGTAGCTATAGATGTAGAAGAAATACGATGGACTGCCCACATTATAACCAAGGGAAGCTGGCAAGAACTGGGAGGGAGATAGGGGAGGGACGGCCCAGAGCAATGGAGAAGTAGTGCTCTCTGCTGCAGTGGGTGGTTACCTGAAGGCTTCCTACCTCAGCATTGTCTTGACTCTTAGTGGTGTAATGACCTTCTACACAGCCTCCTCTCCACAGGGAGAATGCCTTGCACTTGCCAGCACTCTGTGGAGCTCCTCATGATGTGGTATTTGTTTACTGTTGTGTTTCTGTTTAAACAGCTGGAGAAGTTGAAGGATCAGCTCTCAACTGAGGATGAGTCAGAGGTGGCCTATGCCTTGGAAAGTCTTTCAGCATCCCAGCCCAAAAAACGTGGTAGGTTTTGAGTTCGAGCCTTGCAGCCATCCTGTCCACTCTCACCTCCAGGGCTTCCTTTCTGCAACAGACAGTGATAGTAAGCATGCCCCAAATACACTGAAAACCAGTTGGTTGGTAGCTTTTCTAGCAGTCTTGGTCCTCTCTTGTTAATGGCTGACTGGTTTAGCAGCTGGTGAGAAGGACTGTGTACCCAACCCTGTCTGCTGTCAAGGCAGATACACCTGGTCTGCACTCCCAGGACCTCATGGAGGCAATCAGTCTTGCATTCTGCTTTTCACAGAGGACCTGGGGTTATATGAGCAATGACTGTCTGACCTGGTGGGGGTGAATTCTGCATGAACACATCCCTGCAGTGAACCCATTGCTTTGCTCTGGGCACAAAGCTAGTGCTGAAGGCATAATGAGGCATGTGGACTGCATGCATTCCCCTCTGCCAATGTCAATGCCTCCCTACAGAGAAAAAAAGAAGCACTTGTTTGTACTGCTGAAAAGCAGCTAAAAAGGATGTGGAAATCACTCAAGAATGCAAGGAACTAAGATCTGGTAGGTCCCTCAGTTGTGGTCTCCAAGCTTTGTCCAGTCTGTATCTAGTGGCTCAAGAGCAAATTGCACCACTGCTCCTGTGAGGCTACCCTTGACAAGCACATGGACAATGCTGCTCATGCTGGCTTTCAGTGGATTCCTCCACTAAGCAGTGACAGCTGTGAACCAGAAGCCAGTGATGACAGATCTGGCCTAAAACCAAAAGAGATAGTTCTGCCCTTAGCCCACATGCTCCATGCACATGGAAGCTGACAACCTGCCAGACAGCCAAGAGAAAATCCCTTTGTGCAAGGCTTGCTTAAGTGCTTAGGTGATCCTTAGGCAACATGCAATTTATAAGCAACCCTGGAGGCTGTCATTAATTTGGGTAATGTAATTCATGCCCCCACCAGTCTGGAAGGTTTAGATGTAGATAAAACTACTTCCCCTTGCCAGGTTTAAATCAGATTCCAACTGAAATTAAAGCAGGGAATCTTTGTCTTCATCTAAAGTCCTTCCAGTCTGGGAGGAGCTCTTGTCTCAGCATGAGCACTGCTGATTCAGTAGAAGCTTTCTTCCAAGATCCTGCTTTCAAAAACCAGATAGAAATCTCTTCTCATACTTGACAATATGACACCCACATGGCATTCATGCTGGTGATACAGCTATTTTTTCCAGCGCCAAAATGTACATCCTTCCTTAATCTAGTCTTCTTAGAAAATCCCACAGAGCTCTGTGTTATTTGAAGGATGGTTTGTAGCAGTGATAGTGACTGAGTTTAAAATAAAGTAGTTGAAAGGACCAGATCCAAACTCTCTAAGTCAGTATCCTGCTCCTCCCGTCAGCTGCAGGTGGAAAACCCTGCACACATCTCTGAGGCAGCAAAGCTGCTGGCCAGTAGACAGGAAAGAAAAAGCTGGTTCCTGACATTGTAAAGTACAGCAGAAGGAAAAGCAAACCCTTTTAAACAAGCAACATGGAAACAACTTTTAGTCCCCGTGTTTACACTGTGAGCTGTATGAAGTCAAAGCTGGTTACTGAGATGTGCCCAGAAACCACAATGCTGGTTTCATGCCCCTACTCTCTCAAGGCATGAAATCCTCTCCGGGGTCAGAGTGGGAAGCTGAAAAAAGTCCCTTGGATGCTAATACACTTTTCTTGTATCCCTTCCCAGCCTGCTTTTGGAAATACTGCATCTGAAGGCCTGTTGGGACTGGAGGATGAAGATGAGCCCTTTCCCAAACTGCCTTGCTGGGTATTAATGTATTAAGAGTTTGTTCTGTTCTTTCATCGTGCTGCTAATTTGGATGCCGTCCTCCATGACCACACCACAGCCAAGTCTAACAGGGACTGTGACAGGAGCTGGTAGCCCACTGCCACTCTCTACTGTTCCTTCCTTCCAGGTTTAACCATGATCTTCTACTTGGAAGATGCTTCCCAACTTTCTGTGCTGTCCTGTGTGTGCCATTTAGGCTGCTGCCACTGTACACCCTACCCCTTCTCACCAGGTCCCCTGAGGGACCAAACACTAACTCAGCTTCCCTGGGTTTGGGCCTCTGGCCACACCTGCAGATGTTGCTCATGGTGGTGTCTGGGTTTCCTGTTGCCTCCCAAGAACAGGCCTGTGATGACCCAGTGGTGGCTGTTGGGACAGGAGGGCAGGGTGGGTGTGATGTGAAGGGCTCAGGGCTCTCTGCCTCGGCTTGCTGAGCCAGAGCTACTGCTCACTGCATCCTGTCAGTGTGCACAGGGGAGGGTGGGCACAGAAGTCTGGATCCTTTGGATATTATTCCAATAAAGATTTTCTGTTGCACAGAAGCATGTTTTGTCTGCTTTCTCTGCCCCTGCAGAGGCCCAAGGGGCAGCACATTTCCCTTGATGTAGGCTCTTGTTACCTTACTGGTTAATGTGAAATTTACTATGGAAAAAAGGCTCACATTAAACACCTAGGGGTTTTATGTGGCTGAATAACAGGCCCTTCCTTCTGACCAGGATCAGGAATAGGTTAGGTCTTCCTCATGATTATGTGTGGGCTGCTGTCCTCATAGGACTGGACCAGACCCACTGGTTTCTACTTACTCAGTCCAAAGAGATGTTTTGAGCAGAGATTTTTGGCTAATCTGGCCAGTCAATGCAGGTGCTACCTGGCTTTTCCTACTGCAGAATTATGTCTGCCCCTGTCCAAAAGGAAGAGCTCACAATCCATTAGTGATTTCTGCATATATTTGTCTTCAGTCATGTTTATTTGTGAAAACAAAGGACCTTGTTCCCAAAGGTGTAAATTCAGAATAAATCCTGGTGTTAACTTTGAGGTTTCCAACAGTGCAAATGAGAACAGGATCTGGTAGCCACCGTATATGTGTGGAATGATTTTGACAAGCATTGAACTGTCTCTCCAGCCCTGCTGAGCCATGCTATTTAACTGTAGCTTGCATACTACATATTCTTTAAAATGTTACCTCTCCCAAAGCTGTAATTACCATCCTACACTCATTGCCTTGGGCTCTGGCAAGAAGCACACGCTTACCACAGCAGTACCTTGCATGTACTTCATTAACAGCAGATCTATTCATCCTATTGCAGGCCAAAGACAGCATCTGTGGAATAAAACCAGCTTGATTGTATCACTGAGGGCTAATGACATGCAAAATACAGTTTGCTGTTAACATTAATTATTTGTTATTTCCTTGGTAGTGATTCAGAACACATTTCCCATTTTCTATTGCTTTTGTGCAAGTGAAGAAGTACGTGGGAGCATACTTTCACATACCCTCACATCAGAACCAAACCCAGGAAAAAATATACCCTGTGGACAAGAGAAGTGTCTCTCTTTAAGAGTTTGGTGCATCAGCTGAAAGGGAGGTGTGTTTATACCCTGTGGACAAGGGAAGTGTCTCTCTTTAAGAGTTCGGTGCATCAGCTGAAAGGGAGGTGTGTTCCAAGAGCTGGTCTGAGTGCCCCAAGTTGGTGTTGAGCTGAGATGATTTCAGCTTGCAGGAAATCCCAGTGCAATGAAAGGCCAGAGCAGCAGGCTCCATCTGTCACCTGCTAGCTGTAGTCATGCCTTCCTAACCTGGCGTGGCAACTCATCAACAAGTCAGGAAAAGGAATACAGTGTCTGTGGATATTTAACAGCTTGCTCTGATCCTAGACAGTTCCTAGTTCCTAGTTCCCTTGAGTGCAATGCATCATGCTGCTTGGCAGTGATTTGGTGCTACATCCTAGCAGTGCAGTATTTAAATGCTCATGGGTACCCAAACTACCCCATTATTTTCTCACAGGCACTCTATGCTACTGTGTTAGCTGCTTCTGATGCAGTGATGAGGATGTGTTGAATGCAATTCATTAACCAATTAGAAGCAGAGGCAGTGATGTTGTCCCTAGGCTTACCCTCTACACGTCACTGTGGGGTCCTGTCTTTTCTCCTAAACACACAGAACAGAAACCCTTCTCTTCCTCAGGTGTCACCTCCACATTGTGGCTGCTCACACCCGTGCTTGAGCAGTCACTCTTGCTAAATTTAATGACCCACAGGCAATAATTAAAGGGATTTCCCTGAGACATTCTAGTAGACCATATTGATTTATTAGCAGAAAATCCTCACAGGCATCTGAATTGATTTACAAATCCAGGCAGCACAGGGCAAACCTAGCGTGCAATGAATGCTGCAGTATATCCTCATTTCATAGTTGTTGACCTCCATGCTATGCACAATGGCTGAAACCATCCAGTATTTTCTACAAAAACAAATTGTAGTGTTCAGCTTTTCAGACATCATCATATTTTAAACAGTGCTTGCCAATTTATGGATTTTAAAGAGTGCTTTTTGAGCCACAGGAGGTCTCAGTGTGCTCAGATGGGGCAGAAGAACAAAAAGGCTGTTGCTTTCCCCGAAGTAATCCACACAGTGAAGTGGGAGCCAAGAGCAGAACTGAAGCTTCCAGCTCCCAGTTCCACCTACACCACTGTCCTGCTTTGCTTTCATGTTACACTTCAGATGAAGGGATTTCTGCACACAATTTACAGGCTTTAAACCCCCTCTTTATTTGGAAGCCCAGGCTAATACCTGCCAACTGTTAAAGCCTCAAGATCCAGCAGTATCTTTGCAAAGCTGCTGTGTTAGCACTAGATTACTCTGATCTCAGTCTTCCAAGATAGGTCATGCAATGACTCTGTCCATGATGCTTTTGACTGACAGCTCTTTGAATAGTCAGGTCATCACTTCCATAATCTGCCCATGCCCCATACATATGGCTTCCGTGCAAGCAGATTATCTGCAGGCTGGATGAGCTCAGTGCAAGAAGATAAATGTTCCCTAAACTGCAGGGCAGGCTCAGGATGGGTAATGGCAGTGTACTGCCAAGGACAGGCTCTGGGCTTGCCTAGGTCTGCATTTGCACACTTGCTTCTAGCATGGACTGAAAATCTTGTCTTGCGTCTGCCAGTCTACATGCAGCCACTCCACCCAGCTCTCAAAGCCTTCACCTGGAAGCTGAAAGGCAGAAAATAAACATGGGACCTGAGGAAAAGCAGGAAGCAAAAACCCAAGATGACATGAATTTACAGCCCTTCTTTCTTTCTGTGATTTTCAAGAGCTTGGTCTGGAAAGAACTTGCAGTCCTTCACCTCACACACAAGTACTGCCAGCTCACCCACCAAAGGGGGAATGATAGCCAAACTTCAGCTAGACTGCTCTGCTTGATGGCTCTTGATGTGAGTCACTGGTTTGTGCAGATGCTCTCAGCAGCATCAGTCTGTATTGCAGATGTCAAGACAAACAGAGTTTCTTGCAATTTTTCTGTGGCTGGGCCGGTATTGATCTCAGGGCATGGCTGTAAGCAAGAAGGAAAATGGGAAAGGTCTCTGGTATGGCTGAGCACTGTCCCCTCTCAGACATGAATTTGATGCTGTCTGCCCTTCTGAGCAGAAGCCTCATCTCCTACCATGGCTGAACCAGGGCAATTGGCCTGACCCTCACAATAGCTTTAACTCCAAAGTCTCGTTGATTTCTTTGTTTGCATCTGGCACTGTTTTCCCCCGTTTTGCTAGCTGATGGCCAGGTGCTTTGTGCCCATATAAGATTAGGAAATTAACACTTAATTCCCATCTCTAGTATCTCTGCCAAACACAGGGTGTTTCACAGGAATAACTTTTGTTCTTAATCCTGCATATTTCCTTTCTCAACAGATCTTCTTTTGCAATGCAGAGGATGATTTATACCCAAGAATAGCAATCCAAGTAATTTAGCTGACATGGACCAAAGTCCAAAAAGGAGAACGTGAGGTTTAGAAAACATCAGCTAGAAATCTGAGCATTGGGATGTTTGCAAACAGCTCTTCTCAGCTACATTTTATGATGTGGAAAGAAGTGAAAAGAGTGAAACAGAGTTTAAGATAACCTGGTTTACTCAGAAATGAAGTGGAGAGGACATGTTTACATTTTCCTAGAGTGAGAAATACTTGAACTTTTAGAGTTGTATGTGTGATTATGCCCTATGCACACATCAAGAGGCTAAAATAAGGCATATGATGCAGATGGCCTAGGAAGTAGATGACTTCATATTTGGCTACTACCCTATGTTATGCACAGGGAGGAGTGAAATGTATTCATCAGCTTAGAGGAGGAAACTAAAAGTCTCATCACATTTCAGGATCTGCCATACGATGAAAACATGTCTAAATATGGTGCAGAGATAAGAGAAAGACTGCTCAAAACATCAGGACAAATACCAAGGTATTGTCACAGTTCTTATTCAGACTAACTCCTAGTGAAGGCAGAAGACATCTTCTCCCAAACAGTGGTCCAATTAAATTCTAGCTTTGTCCCACAACTGTTAAATCCTCCCTTCATCTACCAAACACATCCCCTCTTGAAAGAAATGTGCAAAGCAAACTGTCTGCTTTTCATGGACTGCTGGGTGGCATTCTGGAAATTTTATTTTCAGTCCAAAAAAATCTATCAGTCCTTGTTAGGATAATAAACTTCTGCAAGTTTAACAGATAAATGCCATGCAATAAAAATATATACATATTCCCTGTTCCCCTCATCAGTGACATCGTGCACAGCCGTGAGAGCATTCTGACCTGATGAACTGAATTTGTTATTATTTGTAAATGCAACATTTGTAAAATGCAATGTGAAACAGATTTTGCAGGAGGTCAATTCCTTGAGTGCCCTATCATTAGTCAATGACAAGACATGCTGCGATGCATCTTCCGTATGTCTGTAATGTTTCCAATACAGCATCAGTCATTCAGAATAGAAGAACCTGAAGACAAAAAAAAACCATTAAACATTACATTTTCCCATGTCAGGAATGCAAGGCTTGGACAAACACAGGTGGTCTAGAGAGATGAAAATGTTAGGAATACTTGTTTTCTTGTAGAGGGGTACTCAGTGGCAAACTAGGGCATTCCGTGTTATAGGGACCCATCATTCCCTAAGCCACTCGTTCCAAGCGTACTGGCATGACTTGAGTACCTCCAGGTAACTGAGAGCAGGTGGGTTCTCCCAGCCTGCCCACACCCAGATTTCTTTGGCTTACCTGCAGGAACTGCTAACCCTTGGTGTTGCTGAGGCGATTCACTCCAATCCGGTCAAGAGGAACTCCAAACCGTCTCTTAGGCAGCTCAAGCACTTTCCTGCATG